AAGCCACGTTGATTCGGTGTGGTATTTAAAACTCACTGCATCCTGCTTCAGAGAGGCTGTAACCCCCTTCCCACCTCACCAGCCAGGCAGTCTGAACCGTTTCCTGACTTGACCTTAATCTCTCGTTAAAAATAAAACTTTGAGGCTTGCCAGTCTTGCTGCGCTGAAAAGTCAGGAGCGGTTACGTACGCTCGTCCTGTCGGCTGTTTGTTTGGCACCACGGTGGTACGCAGATACGAATCTGCTCTCAACAGTTGTTGAGGTAGAGAAGTGTCCAGCTGGCCTTATTTTATGAGCAAAGAGAGCCGACGCGTGGGCAAGCAGTGGCGAGTTTGGGATGGGTAAATGGATATAAACTAGCTCCGCTCTGGCACGTTCCCCAGAGCCGGTGGGAAGTCCTCTTACAGTTATCGCTGGTGTGGTCAGGCCGTGCAGCTGACTCCCCGCTGAGCAAGAAGACGCGAAGCCCGGAGGCCGGGATGTGCTGTGTTTGCTGGCACGCTGCTTTTCCTCCTTCCCCCGTGCTTCAGCAGGGCCAGCAGCGCTAGCGTGGCTTTGAAGAGCTGTCCTGCAGGAAGAAAGTCTCTTTTGGGGACCTCTCACCTAACCTACCAGCTAAGCTGGCTGTACTTTGAGCTCAGATAAGCAACGGGCCACGTTTTGAAGCACCGCTTGTTGGACTGCAGCTGGTTCCTGACTTGGAGGAGAAGCGCCAAGGGGTGCAGAAACCTTTCTGCTGCTGCGGGCCAGCATTGTGCAGCTGGAGCTGTGGTAAAAACGAGGAGGCAGTCTCCAGCCCAGGTTGCTGATCCCTCTTCTCTTCAAGTTTTGAGTCCATTCTGCCTGAATGGTAGATGAGCAACCTGACCTAGTGGAAGGTGTCCCTGCCCATGGCAGCGGGGTTGGAACTAGGTGATCTTTAAGGTCCCTTCCAACCCAAAAACCATTTTATGATTCTATGGGGGCTGTACCAAGGTAGGGGACCCTTTCTGAATCACAGTCGGGCCCCATAGCAATAGGAGAGCAATCGATGTGGAACAACCTCTTGCCGGAGCTTTCTGCCTAATGGCTCCACAGGACAGCAAGAGGTGCCTTGGGAGTCCTCAGCATTCCCCAGGTTATCCAGATATTTGGGCTCTGCCTCTTGGAGGAGAACTTGCTGGCAGAGCAGCTCACAACAGCGCCTTGGTTCCGGCAGTGCCTTCTAGCCATTTCCTGGGAGCTTTAGTCTGCGGTTGTTCAAGAGAGACGTTGACATCAATGTAAGTCTGAAATTCCCCCCTCTTTGTCCACTGTGCTTTCGCTCACCCGGAGAGCAATGTTCAGCTATCGTCCAGCCACGACGTGCGATCCGCGGGGTGACCGCTTTGACCCAGCTGCGAGTCAGTGCCCTGGCCGTTCAGACCCATCCACGGTTGGCGCGTGAGCGCGGCGAGAGAACTTCATTTCATACTGCAATATGTCCAGCTGCTGGAGCTTTATGAATGTTCCTGTGTTTGCAGCATCAAGGAAGATTGACAGCCTTTCAGTTAGCTGATTTTTTAATTTAAAAATGCGCTTCCCTTCAAAGATTTTGTCAACCCAAGGAGTGATTACTCCAGGGCTATTGCTGAAATACCAGCGTTTTTGAAGGTCAGCATCTGCATATTGGTCTCGGCGTCTTCCAGTATCGGAACAGATGTGTCCCTTTCTGTTGTGTGACTCCTTTGTGGATGTACAGGTTTTTCTCTGTTAGGACCCAAAGGCTTTTTGTCCGTACAGGTTTTATGCAGTCTTGCTTTACCTGCAAAGGCAGGATTGCCTGGACCTTGATGTCTCGGTGTGGAAAGGGTGGACTGCAGCCATTCTGCTGCTCAAATTCCTCCGAAGCGTTGGCTTTTCCAGGGTTCAGTGTGAATATTGCTTTAAAATGATAAATGAAGTGTTTACAGCCAGTCCAGCACACAGAATCATGAATGCTCAGGCTGTGACTTCGGCTTAATGCTCCAGGCCGTGATGAGAACCCAAAATCGAGAGCCTGTCCCTTGGCGCGCTGCGTGGAGCGCTCACCTGGAGCTCTGCACCGTGTATTAATTGGGGTGTGCTGTGTTCGAGACTATGGCAGTAAACCTGCCCCAGTGTTTCTGCTGGCTTGGGATTTGGTTTTTTTTACTCCTGGCTTCCTCTTTAAATCAGAATTTAATTTTTACATGGATGTTTATGCTTATTTTGTCTTTTGTATTTGTAAAAATAAATACAGAGCAAGTCAGTGTTATTGGAGCAATGTTAGCGCTTTATCACTGCGGGCGACTTTACATTTCAGATAAAGGAGGAGAAAATAGTTTGAGCTTATTTCTGGGTCAGGAAAAGGAAAGGTATGAACAGAGCTGCTCTTGGCCTGGGCAGTTTGTGTCTGTAGGAGAATGAGACTGGGGAGACCTTGAAGAGTTGCAAGAAGATGTGGCAACAACCTAGGAAACGAGGAGCCTGGGGAGAGGATGCGTGTGTCCTTCTTTGAAGAACAACTGTTTCATTTGCAAAGCTTGAGACCAAGGACAATGTGAAAGAAGGGATTGTTCCTTGCCTGGGTGAATGCAAAGATGACGGAGGAGAATTACAAATAGCCAGCACGGGAGCTGCTTGAGTGGGCAACCTAATCTCGTCTGCCTGGATATCGAGTGCAGCTTAAATGCCGAAGTGTGTGAATGAAGAGTTGACTAAAACCTTACAGGTGGGTTTGCAGCACGGCCTTGTCCAACCAGGTGCAGGTGGCTGTGGTAGAAGGTACTAAGAAATGGGTGAGATGATCGGAAAACCAAAATGAGAGAAGGCAGAGGGATGCATGCGTCTAGCTGGGTTAAAGGGAGCCAGTCTGTGTCCCAGATACTGGAACAAAGTGTGTGTAGTTCAGCAGGTCTACACATTACCGTCCTATTCTTGTTACCTCATGTCTTCCCCCATCCTCTCTTCTATCCTGCTTTATCAGAAACGTAACTTTTTTTTTTTCCCCCTAAGAGAAAGACAGGATTTGGAATCAGGATCATTGCTCGCTGTAGCTCTCCAGTGCCAGCATAATGGATCTGTGACCTGATTTAAACCTGTGAGAGCTGCCATAACGTAAATATTTGATGGAATTACGGCTTCCCTTTTTAAGTCTGCTTCAGTTTTTCAAGCTAAATCATGGCAAGGTATTCCTGAAAGACACTTGTTAGCGTGGAGTTGTTTATGCAGTTCTCGATTCTTCTTTTAGAGATTGTTCTGGCTTCGGGCATCGTTTCAGCCTTGCGTTGTATTTATGCAAAATCCGAGCAGTACAAGTAAACATGAAATTACGTTTGTGTCATAATACATGGAAAGGAAGGGAGCTGAATCCATATGTCAGCTCTTACCCCAGATGGGAACCATGCTGTCGCTCCCATCGCGATCGGCCCTTGTTTGGGCAGAGATGGTACATCAGCGCTGCTGCAGCGTCTCGCCTGGAGTGGCTGGGTAAAGGTGGTGAAGGCAGGGGTTTTGCTGAACGGTAGACAGCGACGTGTTTCTACGCTTCTTGGTCTGCTCTAGAGAGAAAATTTCTGTGTGTTTTGAGTCCTGGAAGGAGCATTTTAAATGGATTGAGTCAATATCCCAGACCTAAATTTCTTATCTGTTTTTATAAACACGGACCTTTGTCAGAAGAAATAGTTGCTGTCAGCTAAAGTAGATCTCTGCTTATGGCAGAAAGGCGCGATTCCCGCATGGCAGTGTTTGTAGGGCTTTATGGGCTGCAGGATGGCGGTACGACAGAGGAAAGAAGGTTTTATTTTAAGTTCTGAAAAAAAGCAATGCGAAGATCTGGAAGCAGCTGAACCTGGTACGAAACCAAGGGTTGCAGCAGCCCTACTGGGCAGAGCCCAAATGGTTCAGCCAAGCCAGCAGAAGTGTGTAGGAATGCTCCATCTATTTGGCAGTGAAATAACTGGAAAACCCAGTTCTGTATCCCTGCACCATGTCCGTTCTGTGCTGGGGACGCATCCCACACCCGGGTATTTGGGTTCCTCCTATTGAAAGGAAAGGGAAGAGTTTGGAATTCTGAATTGCTGGATTCTGCATCCACTCACAGCCATCGTCTGAAACGCTTAACTTTGCTTTTGGGGTGGATGTGCTTTACTTCTGCACAGGCTTAGTTTTATAAACTCGATTTGTGGGAGAGGAGGGGAGTGTTTTCGAGGTACTATCTGTCTTGAACTTGAGGTTAAAGTAGGCAGCTGGAAAACACGGCTTTCCTCTAGCTGCCGCTATCAGATGCAGTCTTCAAAGCGCGAGGCATCTTGTACCGTGATGTCGTAAGTCTTGAAACCACGGGATTTTTTTTTAACAACTTAATTTGCAAGTCGGAACAAAGAAAGCACTGTCAAATCTAGAAGTCTGAAATGTGGACAAAGCCATGATGAGCTTTCTCATTCTAGACCTTGCATCTGAGCTGATTTCTTTTCTAGGAGACCAGAGGTACCAACTGATGAATTAATTGCTGTGTTGATGCAGAACTTGAAATAGTAGCTCTCTGCACCAGCCTCTGCCCCTGAATGGCTTACTAATGTTGCAACTTCAAGTTCATAGAAAATTTTTGTTGGGAGACATTAAAAAAAAAAAAAATCTTAAAGCAAATGTTGAGCTTAAGTTTTGTGTTAGTGTTTATTCTAAAGATCCTTGCAGCTTTTAAAAACACTTCATCAGACGTGGGTGCTCGATTGCGCTGATGGGCGGTTCTTTCCGAGATAATACTGAGCCATAAAACCTTTGCGGTACGGTTGCACTGTAAGCAGAGGGTTTTGCTGAATTTTGAGGGAATGGACAAGGACCCTAGGGTCAGAAGGTTGCCTGCCTATTTTAAACGTTACGTAGCTATATATAACTAAGGCTGGCTTGTTGTTGAAACTAGTCAGATGAGTCCTTATTCAGTAAATTCCAGATTTCTCTTGTTTTTAAAAAAAAAAAATCTTTGGCTGTTTTCTGCTATTTACCAGTGTGTCTCTTTGCAGGATTCATGAATAAAATTTTCCATCCCAACATTGACGAAGCGTAAGTAAATCCCTAGTGTGTGGTTTTTCTAAGGAGTTTGTCTAATTGTAACTGTATTTTGGCTTCACAATAATAAGCTGATGAGTCGAATAATGCTTTCATCAATCTTAAAGAGTTCAGAGCGGGAGATTTGATGGAAGTAAATGTCGCAAGTTAACTTTCAGGAGTGGGTCAGGGCGTGGGCAAGACTAGAGCTGCATGCTGCAGACTCTTGCAGATGTGATTTTTGTATTGCAACATGCTTCATTTACAGAAAATTCAAGGTTGCCCGTCCCCCTCCTCACTGGCATCATGCTGGCTTTCTAGAAAGAAGGAACAGCGTTGGCTAAGCCATAGCTCCCTCTTTAGCTGAAGTTCACGCCTATACTAAAATTCTTCAAAACAGAAGATGGTTTGCCACATTTTTTTCAGTTAAGGTTTGTTAAAGGGAGCCACACATGCCTCAGTCTCTCCAGCAGAGCCCTGCACGGACCAACAAATTCAGTAAAGGCTCCAATTTACTTTCTTTTGTGCAGAGTATGAAGATTCATGTAGCTAAAGGCTGCCTCTCTATTAACCACAAGATAGGAGTAAATCAGAGCTTATCTGAAACAGTGGGGCAGAGGCAGGGCAGGGGAAGGGAGGGGATAGATTATATTAAATCCCCGGAGTATTTTTGAGTGTGACTGTGTTTAATTCCATCCTTTCCATATGTTTCAGGTCAGGAACTGTATGTCTAGATGTAATCAATCAAACTTGGACAGCTCTCTACGGTGAGTTTGGCATTTCCCTGAAAGCTGATCACGTGAACATCTGTATTTGCTGTGTTAACACAACACAGCTTGCTGGAGACGGATGATCCTAGGCCAACTTTGGGGGTTTGTTGTTTGTTTTATTTTTTTTTTTTTTACTGACGTTTTAGACTCCTCACTGAGCCAAGATCACGTGAAAAACAAGATTTTCATGTGAAAATACTTTTGTAACCTGTTTTTATGCCAGAGAGGTGAAAATATTCCATAAACCTCACAAAGGATCGCTCTGTCCATTGCTTGGCATTGTCTGGCAACTGCCTAACAGCACCCTGCCATGATTCAGCGTTAGACTGTATGTAAAATGAAACCCAGTTCCATCCACATTTCGTATGTGCATTTGAGCTGGTATTCGTTGTGCACGAGGCTATGATCTGACTTCTACAGAAGACGGCACAGAAACCGTTCCTGTATGTCATGGCAGCGTCATTTCATTGCAGGCTAGGAGGTGGTGGTGCATCTGATGACTGCACTGCTTGCTGCAGAATGTTTTGGGTTTCCCATTAGGTCGTTTCTGGCTATAACTCTCCTTTTTAGAGATATAAAAAGATCAGCTGGCAGCTGAAGACCCATTAAAATAGCATTTAGGGAAAGCTGGAATTGTTAAAAGGAATACAGCTGAGTATCTAGTCTAGGTTGGCTGCATTTTAAGAACGCGAACTTCTTCAGATGTTCCAGTTACGCTTTGTGGAAGAGCATTCAGGGGAATGCGCACATCAAGTCCTTCATGTTATTCCATGAAAAACTGATTTTACCTATGTAAGTTGAAGCTTTGAAGCAGTTGCTAGAGAGACTAGCTGCTTCACCTTCCTCGCAAGTACAATTTGTAAGGAAATACCAGACTTGGTGAATCCTGGGTGGGAAATTGCTATAGCAACTTGTTGAACTTTACTCCTCATCAGAATGCCTGAAGTCCTCATGTAGTAGATGCATGGCGTACGCTGCGCATGGTTTTGTTGCGAGAAGTCAGCTTAGCCGTGACCCAGGTGGTGTTGCTAATGGAGGAAGAGGATGCTCTTGTGTCCTGGAAGGATCTGATGCGAGGCGGAGGAATTAAAGCGGTGTTAGCAAACCAAGCCCTCTGCTGGGGATGAACCTGCATGGCTCAGTCGGCAGCAGAATCCAGTTCAGTGCAGCGTGCGCTGCTGTTCCACAGCCTTAAATGCCACCTGCAGATCGTGGGGATGGCCGGACAAAAGAAAATTGCTGCGGTGTAAGTCCGGTGCTGATTTTTGTGCTCTGGCAGTCTGGGTTCTGCTTTGGAAGCCACGCGTGGATAGCCTCCCTGCAGCACGCTCTCACAGACGGTCGCAGTGGGGTTTCTGCACTATTTCCAAACAATTTCATAGGAGGGCTTTCCTATGTGAGAGGTTTCCTAATGAGTGCTGCTGTATTTTTGTCATTGTTATTGCTCGTAAAGGTGGAAAAAACTTCAGGGTTTGCTGTGCTTGCCATGTATTAATATCAGCAAGCGTGCAAAAATCTTCTCTGTTTTTCCTTGTGATGTCAGTGATAGGTGTAAGGCACTTGAAGGTATCAGGTGTGTATTCTGTACAGAGCACCTTCCGCAGTCTCTGGTGAAATCTGGCGTTAGAAAGCGCATCGCTTGACAGTCATCTTACTGCAAACTTCCCTTGCCTTGCTGCAGGATGCCTTGAAGCTGCAAGGACACTGGGGTGACTGCATTCGCTCTGCCCCTTCGCTTGGAGGTTATCAACACCAGAGCGCCTACACCACCTCTTCCCTTCCAGGGCTTTGCCTCCTTGTCTGAAGTCGGGAGGTGGCCCATTTCTGAACATGAAATGAAAAGGGGGAAATAATATTCCCTGGTGCCTCTCGGCACAGCTGTGTTGTTTGGAGTTTCACCCCTTTAAACCAGAGCGCTCCGGTGCTGGCAGAGGAAATGGGTCAGATAATTCAGGGAGCAACTAAGGTGGAAGAGACCCGGAATAGCTACCGATAAATTCATGAGGACCTCGTGTTTAAATTCCCTTCTCCTTCCCTAATGAAGAATCAAGTCCCCAGTGCTATGGTTGGGCTTCCTGCACATGTTCAACTAGTTCCTGCTAAACCAGTGCCGCTTTGGAGGATTTGAAAGAAGGGGGAAATTAATGAGGTCTCTTAAAGAAAAAAATAAAATAAAATCCCTGCGGTGTGTCCTGTGAGCCATGGTGGCCTTCCAGGGCTCTGCTTGCTCAGCCTACCTGCGACTTTAGTTGTCTAATGGCCACGAAGAGGTATGTGATCTAGGCCTGCTTTGTGAAGAGACTTCTCCCAAGAGCAGGTGATTTCACAGACTAAAGTCAACTTCTTGCTGACAGCGTCTGAACCCAATCCCTGGGAGGTTTAACTGGTTTACCAAGGGCAAGCCACTACCACAGCAGGAAAATATTCTTCTACAGCATTCTCACTGCTTTTTGTGGGCCCTTTCTGGATTAGGATCCTTCTTCCAGTTGCTGTTGCGCTCCATCCTGGAAGCAACTGGTGGCACCTGGCTGCTCAGTGTGCCAGCCATGGAAAACTTGGTCAGGGTACCGTGTGTGCTCGAAAGGGCTTTATCACTGTCCTCTGCCAGCATTGGAAGGGGCAACAGTGTCTATAGTAGAAAGATTTCAGGGTAAAACCATGTAATTTCTAAGTGGTGTCCCTGTATAGCAGAGACCGGCCGATCGCTATCCATAGCAATCGATGGCATTACTTTTTGCGATTGGGTGATGCAGTATCAGCCGTAAATGAACCCTACGCTCCTGAGTGTATATAAAGCCATGGCCTTCCCTCCTGCTCAGCGGGGTTTATGCTGAATGGGCGCCTGAAGTAGTCATAACGCCGTGTCTGTACGTCCCGGACGTGTTGATGCAGGAGGGAAGAACTGACAAAACCTCGAGTCTCCTTTGATCCTCTTGAGCAAGATCTGAAAGCGCATTTTGAAAGCACACCCGTTGGTAGATTTGCAGAGGTGGTAACGTCGGGCAGTGGCGATGATCTGCCTGGACCTACTGTGCAGCTCTTCGCAAGATCTGAAAGCGCATTTTGAAAGCACACCCGTTGGTAGATTTGCAGAGGTGGTAACGTCGGGCAGTGGCGATGATCTGCCTGGACCTACTGTGCAGCCCTTCCGAGGCTGTATCTTTGCTGGCGATGGAGTTAGAGCCCAGTTTTCTGTGGCTGCAGCCCAGAGCCAGAGTAACTGCACAGGGAGAGCGCTTGGAGATCTCTACCCCTACCTTGCCCACCCATTTTGATGAATCTTTTAGAAAGTGAAGGGCTCTGAGGTCCCTGCCCTCTGTCAGGTCTGGTTGTATTTAGCAGCTCCATGAGGCTCGGAGGTGGCTGGGCTCAGGAATAGTCACACAGCCTTGTTCCTGTAAGAGGCAGGTTGAGATGGTTAACTGCTCGCGTGGTGGATCCTAGGGAGCGTTGGGCTTCCCTTCTGACAGCTCCGCTTTGATCCGTGCTGGAGGGCACTGGTGATGCTCATCCACAGGCAGGATTTCTCTGCCACCAGGAAAGAGACACTCCTTTTAGTGAGGGAGGAAGGGGGAATCCTGATAAAAGATGCGTAGAATATTCCCAAAGAAAACCCAACAGAAAACCCCGCGTAGCAAATGCTGGTCTGCCTGGGGGTTTAATCTCTGCTCTGCGTGGGTGCGCGTGGTCCTTCCGAAGCCCCCGAGGAGAACTGATGACGCAGGGCTTGTTTCTGAACACCCCCACCGCTGAAGTGTGGTACTTGTCATCTTGGGGATGTGGGAAGAGGGTTTCGTGTATCCACAATTACTCATCGGCACCAAAATTATGTTTCCTGTTGTGGATTATTTACTGACAGATGCCAACTGGCACCAAGGTGTTAATGTGAGCTCTTGACATTCTGCAAATTGTTTTGAGTTGGAGGAGGGAGCTGTTGGTTGCTCTTTCTATGAACGCAATCATCTAAAGTGCTGTGGAGATGCTTTGCGCTCAAGATGCATCAATTTAGTCATGGAACGTAAGACATTTAAAGATGGTGATAGAAGAAGGCAGAAGAAGGAGAAGAATTCAGTGAGGGGTGAAGCACAGCCCTGTTCCTTTTTCTTTTTTTACTTTTTTTAAGCCAGGGCTGAGTCTCGATGGGAAACAAGGCAATTGTGTCCTCCTTCTTCTTTGCTTAACCCGCAGATCTCTGTATCTACGTTGTTGGGATGTCGAGTAGTTTGTGCAGTTAGCTGAGGAGCTGCAGCATGCCTCCAGCAGCAGCAGGAGCTCTCTTATCAGCCGTGTATGTGCTTTCCCCGATGCAGTTTCCTTTATTTTAACTTGTGCCCAGATTTTCAGTGCATTTGCCCTTGAAGCTTTGTGCTGCTGTTCCAGGGCCAGGGCTGGCCGGATGATTAATCGGACTGACTGTGGGTCTGTGGACATGAACAACTGTGTCTTTCACTTGCAGATCTCACCAATATATTTGAATCGTTCCTGCCCCAGCTGCTGGCCTATCCTAACCCTATAGATCCTCTAAATGGTGACGCTGCAGCCATGTACCTCCACCGACCAGAAGAGTACAAACAGAAAATTAAAGGTAAGGGTGTAAATAACAGATTGCGGAATGAGTGGCATCTTGCATTCAACAGATTGCGGAATGAGTGGCATTCCTGTGATCCCACCTGGGGGGAATGAGGACTGTCTTTGCTGCACGTTTGCGTGTCAGTGCCCATTCCTTCCCATTGCAGGGGCCCCGTCCGTTGTAAATGGGGGCAGTGTCTGAAGGAAGGGGTGAATGAACTGCTGCTGCGGTCTGTGCAGTGTGTTTTTAAATCTGGCAGGGTTTTTAAATCAATTAGCAGACCCTAAGCAGGGAAGGCTGTCAGCAATCCTGGGTTAGGATTCAACACGATTTTGAGAGATGGGAGAAACGATTCAGAAGAAAAGGTGTGCGACCGAAGAAGGGACAAGGAAAAGTGCTAAACTGAAACGGGAGCATCTAGTTGCACAATTACTGGGTAGAAGGTGGCTTGTTAGCAGTTCTGTGGAAAGTGATCCGAGAGAATCGAAGGATCGGCGATGCTGGTGCAGAAAACCCTTTTGTACTGTGACAGAGCAGGAATTTTCTGTAAATGCCAAGTAATCCTTCCTTGCTACTTCCTAGTTCAGCGGAGGCTTACTAGTGCTGTGCCCGGTTCAGGAGCTGCCATTTAAGAAAGCTGCAGACCAGTTAGTAAAGTCTGGCAGGGTGTAACAAGGGCAGATGGTCTTGAGGATGTGTCTTAAGAGGAGAGAGGGAAAGAATTGGAGGAGTTTAATCTAGAGGACCAAACAGGGTTCGTACCAAAGGTGCCTTCAAAGAGGAAGGGAATGATTTATCCTGTGATCAGTGCGAGCAGAATGTGGTCACAGGCGTGTAACGCGGCTGGGGGAGCCCAGGCTAAACATTAACAGTGACCGGTGAGGGTAGGGGAGCGCTGGCGGACCCGTGAGGGTGCTGGTGTGTCTGCTCCTGGAAGGACATGTTAGACAAGGCTGAGAAATGGAGTCAGTACCTCCCTGGGATCAGGGAAGGCTCCCACTAAGGGCTCTCAAATACTTTGGATAAGCCTGGCGATAGAAGGACTGTCCTAGCAAGCTGGTAAGCGAGACACAAATTGAATTAGGCTTGCAAACATAAGAAATAAGGTAAAAAATAAGAATTGCACTTTGAATTTGCACTCTGACTTCCCTAGAATCAGCTGACTGCAGACAGGAGCAGGGCGCCGTTTCCCCATGTGACAAGCCTATGGCAAAGCCACGGACTTTATTTCTCCCCTGATCCAGTGAACGCAATCAGCATTTAATCTAGTGGTGGGAAATTTACAGCCTTTGGCCCAGATTTGGTCTTCAATTAAGTTTTTAAGAGACTATGACCACCTGATTTTTTTTTTTTTTTTTTTTTTGTTACTGAATAACCATAAAACTTGTTTGTCCGTGGGAGTCCTGCCAAAAAGCCTTGCAGGGCCTGTTCAACAAGGAGAGCCTCCATGAGCGGCACGATCTAATCGTCTTCCCGGTGTAGCAGCTTTCCTAACGGAGTGTTGTGAAAGCTCACGCATGTTTGGAGAGCGCAGGTATCCCAGAAAGACGTGGGATTTGGTGGTGGAGTCCTTCCATCAGCTCTGCCACGTCACTCCGGAGTGGTTAAACCCCGAGTCACTTTGTTCTGATGCGAAATGACTCTTCATCAGCTGCAATTTTTGTTTGAGGGTGGAACTACAAATGAGGCCAAGCAAAGCTGTGATTTAAATACTGAGTTATTGAGCCCACTTTGCTTGACTCCTCTGACAGCTGCATGACAGGATCGTAAGAAAACTACCCTGCAGATCTGGCCTGCTCAGTATCCTGAAGTCCATTGCCTGTTTTTTCCTATCAACAAGCTTCCAGGCAAAATGGTTTGTCAGATAAAATCTTCAGGGCCAACACAAGGGATGCTTTCTTTGAGTGTCCTCTGTGCTTTAACGAAACGGGAATAAAAAAAGATGCACCCTTGAAAAAAAGTCAATGAACTGATGCTAGCCAACCGCAGGTGTTTCAAGGAAGATCTGAGGACATCCCTCCAGGAGGCTAAATGGGGTAGTCTGCTCCCTCATTTCCATCCCAACAGCCAGGTACAGGCCGTGAAGATGATCTGGAAGGAGTTTTAAGTGCTTGCAACGTCTCATGTTCCATATACCCAAGAGTCCTGCCTCTGCTGTCTCTTCCCAGGCTTGCGTGACAAATACAAGATAGGGCTAAACACTGTCATTCCTCATATTGTAGCGTTTTTAAAAATAGCCTTGGACATGTTAAAATTGATGTAATGGATTGTAGCAGCTTCTCTGGTCTGGGAAACTCAGTAGTGCAAATACATAATTTATTGCTGCTTTTCTTCATTTTTTAGTTATGAGCGCATAGAACAGTTGTTTCACATAGTGGTGGTGAAGAGATGGCTTAGAGATGTGGCCCAAGGTTTGTAGCTCCTCTGATTGTCGGTATGAGACCCAAACAAGTAAGGATTTATTGTGAAACTTGTAAATGACCATTAATAATACCACATACAGCTGGAGACTGTGATTCTTAGCACTGGAGCCTTCAGGTAGATGAAGTAGTTCATGGACACAGAGCCAAGTGCTCCTTTAGGATCTCCCTGACGGTCCTTGGTGCGATGGCTTGCCTGATGACTGACAGAGCACTGGAGGGCGGCCTTCAGATACGCAAAAATGGCTCAACGTTTTCTCGCCTTGAGCTGTTGGGAGTTGGTTCTTAACTCCCGTGTGTGCTGCTTTTCTTTCTCTTTGGTAGATCTAATAGGAAAACTTCTTTTGGGAGCGTGGTGGTGGTGAGTAACAGCAGCTGAAGGGTGCTGAGGGGCAGGATGAGTGTTTGCTGGGAGCAGAGGACATCTCTGGGAGCAGTTCTCCCATCCCACATGTCGGCTCTGAAGTTCCAGTAGAGTCCTTTGAAACACCAGTATGGCTCACAGGCACATACGAGCCACGGGGCGTAACCACAGCTTGTTCTTGTTGCTCCAGGGTTTAAAAACATGAATCAAAGCCATGTTTCCCTGGTAGGAATGGTTGCATCAAGGCTTCCCCTTCTTGAATAAGCTTCTGTGGAAGACTCTCTGTCAGTATTCGGATGTTGCGGTTTTCTTCCCTTAATAGATGGAAGATCCAAGTTCAATACAACATTCAGCGCAGAAGCTCCCTGGAAGTTTGACCTTTCCCAGATTAAACCTTCAGGAAAACCCAGCCCAGGGGCTTGGTAGCTTTCCTGGGTAGAAGATGACATTTTAAGTTTGAAGTGCTTCAAGCTGTGTTTTTAGGTTAGGCTCAAGCAGGCCTTTTCCAACAGTAAGAAACAGTGGCTTCCATGTCTGAATCTCCAGTGGCCCAGAGAGCACTTGAAGTAGTCAGTGAAGAAGCACTGCTAGCCTCCTGACCTGCCGTGGTCCCTGGCTTGTGGCTACTATGTTTGGGGACTCCCGAGGCAGCTACGGCAGTTGTTTAGGTGGGTTTGGGGTAAACGTAAGGGGAATGTATTTCTAAGGTGCCCAGTAAGGGGTTGCCTTTGTCATCCAAGGACATCCAAAGTCTTAGAGCAAAGGAACTTGGGTTCCCCTTGCCGGATTGTGCAACGAATAATGATTTATCTGGGTAAACACCCCTTTTCCAGAGGGAGATTAATTCTTGGAAAGCTATGGGAAGGGAGTAGCCGCTCCAAGGATATGTCATGTCGGCATCCCATCCCCTTAGCTCTGCTTGTCGTCTACTGCCAACCCACCTTCCCCTGTAAATTCTCTGAAGACGCGCTGCTTTTTTGGGTCCCTCCTTCAGTTAGTCCCTCTCGTCTTTAAACCATTAGGTCTGTTGCACCAATTCTTCTCACTTTGCAGTGTCCGTCTCTCTTGGCAGATGGTCCCTGTCCCAGACTCTGCCACTCCTGTTCTCCAGTACAGGCAGGAGACGTGATCAGGCAGGGCCTAGGCTCCGTGGTGACACAGGCAAGCGCCTTCCAAGAAGGGGGTTCTCGGTGGCGAGGACCTGAGGATGGAGCACAAGGGTGCTTTTCTGTTGATACACCGTGGGCTCCAGCAGCCTGAGGGCAATGCGAGACCTTGGGCGCTCCGTGCTTCCCGGTGTTTACATAGCTGCCTTCAATACTTTATCAGTTCTTAACAAGTTCTTGTAAAAGAGATTTGAACAGCTGCTTCTGTAGTCCGAGCAAGCAGGTTAATAATGTGTATTAAACAGGCGGACTGAAGCTGCGTGCGTCATTAGATGGAGAAGCTGAAGCTCCCTGGGCTCAGAAGCACCTTCCAGCCAGCTCTCGCAGCTTTTCCAGGGTGGAGCAGGTCTGCCAAGGCCACCAGCTGCTCCGTCCTGGGAACTCCTCCATAAAGTGTTGGCTTTGGGTTGCTCTGTCCTTACTCCTGAACCCAGAGTAACATGTTTGGGCTCAGTGTCCCTACGTCAGCTCCAGAAATGCGGAAAAAACCCACAATGATGATGCAGATCTCTTGCAGAGTATTGTCCCTTCCACTGGGCTGAAGGGTGGAAGTGTAGAGGGACAGCTTTAAGGACAGCCAGGCTTTGCAAAGCGGAGTCTTTAAAAGCTGGGGTGTAGCACTTGGTTGTCTGGCATTAGCTGCATCCTCCCGCAGCTTTGTCAGTGCATCCACCTGCTGATATGGTACGGAATAAAAAGCAGTGATCTGTGCTCCTGGAGGAGAGATGCTCCTCGTGGACCTCGTTCTCTGGGAGGAATTAAAGAACATACAGTTGGGACGGCCGCTGGGCTGGGACTGGGATGCGACATTCGCATTTCCATGCAGGGGCTTATCTTCAAGCACAAAGGGATGGTGGTATTCCCTCTTTCTTCAGTTATTTAATACTGCTGTTCGGAGGAGGCTTTGTCGGTTTTGAGTCCCTTTTGTATCTTAGTACCTTTGTATCTGGAAAGATAATGAATTCACAACTGAAATTCCCCAGCAGCAGCGTGAGCACAGCACCCCTCTCCTCCGCGAAGTGCGTGCCCCGCCGCGAGGAGGAGGTACTATTGGCATACGGAGGTTACACCACTTCTTCATACCATGAAGCCGCTTTCTGTGTGAGGTGGAAAAGAGGAGAAAATACGAGGAAGACTTGAAATGGAGGCTGAGCACCCTTTCTTTAGCCTGTTTTGTGTCAAGCTTTCACCCCTGCTCCATTCTGCACACCCGCAGGCGTGTAAGGAATAGGCTTTCTCTGCTGGGGCTGCCAGCCCCTTGGATCTCGGAGTGGAAACTGCGGGAGCCTCCTGCAGCCGTGAAGGAAGGAAAAGGATTGCCAGACTCGGTCTGACTGATCCGATCTGACTGATCCGACTGATGCGAGGCCGCCCCTCGAGTGCTGTGCTCAGCGTTGGGCCCCTCACCCCAAGAAGGCCATGGAGGGGCTGGAGCGTGGCCAGAGCAGGGCAGCGAGGCTGGGGCAGGGGCTGGAGCCCAAGGCTGGGGAGGAGCGGCTGGGGGAGCTGGGGGGGCTCAGCCTGGAGAAGAGGAGGCTGAGGGGAGCCCTCATCGCTCTCTGCAACTGCCTGAAAGGA